AATTTAAGAGGACGAGTCGTTGACGTACACTCTTCCATCGACCCATGATTCTGGCTCCCAATAGCTCTGCGCTTTCGTCCTGGGTCATTCCAGAAATGGGTGGGGCAACCTTCTTGAGCCACCAGTCCCATTCAGGAACGAGCTGCTTCAGTTGCCTGAATACGAGGAAAGAGCCATCTTTTGCCCAGGATGGTCGGGAGCTTGCGAGGGTATCACCAGGCTCGCCAACCAAGATGACACCAGGAGAAATAAGTTGTTGACCAGGAACGGGGTTGATGTTGAACCCAGCGACTGCAGGCTGGCTAACACCGTCGAGGAAGCCGAACACTATCAAGGGTCAATCGTGGGTCCCGTGGGCTAGTAGGGCGCTTACTTTCGTGTCCATCATAGGGTGGAGGTCGAATGTTACCCTGGAGCGAGTAGACGTTGGTTATATCAGTTCCATAGACCGAGTTTAACCAAGAGACCATTGCATTGATGTTCGTCATAGTATCGGAGGCGATCAAGAAGACACCATGAATCTTGGTTCCAATAAACTGTGGTACCCAATTCTTAGTTCCAGGATCCCCTAAATTGTTGGCGTCAACGGTCTGTCCCTTAGCGAAAGGAGTGTCTGCCAAGTTAGCGGTGATTCCGAGCTTTGTGAGACCACTTTGAGAGAAGGCAAGGTTGAGACAAACGACGGGCTGAGATGCGACGTTGAGGAGTTGCAGGGTATTCGTGATTCGTTGAACAACTTGGTTGTGGAGCTTCTTTTTGAATGATTCTGGGTTATTGATGGTGAAGAAGTAGAACAATTCAAGTTTCTTCTTCATGCCGACCCTACACAAGATTGTGAGAATGATTTAGCGAAATTATAGAGTCAGTACACACAAGATATCGCCTTGAATGTCGGTGGCATTGAGGGTGGCATTTCTGATGACTTGCTCTCCGTCTGGGAGATCATAGATACCCTTGATAGCTACGCGCAGGACCCATTTAGAACACGCTCATTTGGGACTCGAGATACTTACTGGCAAAGATATCAGTAGTTCGTGGTCCATCGAGAATGACTGTGGGATCAGGGGTCTGGGTGGGGGTGGAAGTTGGTTTGGTGGAAGTAGAGTTGGTGACGGTAGTGGATGCCTTCGTGGAAGAGGTACTGGCAATCTTTGTAGTGTTTGTGCTGGATGTCGTGGCGACGATCCTGGTGATGTCGGTGGCCACAGTCGCGCGTGTAGCGGTTGCGGTTGCAATCACGGTAGGTGCGACAGCTGATAGAGCCCCTTGGGCAAAGAGAACGACAGTGAGGAGACCCGTTAGTCCTCCAA